TTTTGAAAGCTTGCATTCTATCCAGAGTTTGAATTTTTTCCATTGTTCCACAGTAGAGTTGCCTAGATCTAGTATTTTTTTACTTTTTATTCTATCTTGCTCTTGTACCTAGTTTTTGAGCAAATTGTTTGTTGTCATTCTTGTTAATAGCAGGATATGGTCACTATCCAGTAGTGTCTCTACTGGAATGTTTTTAAACTTATATTTATTATTTAGGCTAATTTCGAATGGTATTTAGATATAGTTAATTCTGTTGTATACTGAGTTATTTGCTTATGTGAAGGTGATATTCCCTTCTTCTTCCCAGAAGTTTTAAATATCTATATAATTCCAGTCTTCTAGGAAGTTGAAAAGATCTATTTCCACTTTTTTATATTTTAAGGTGATTTTGTTTGTGAGTAGTGATCGATCCACTATTGGGTTAACAACTGCATTAAAGTCATCCATTATTATAACTTTGAAGTGGTTTCTTTGCTTATCTAGAACCTTGTTTTGAAGTAGCTATTGTAGCTATCTACTTTCAGCTTTTCTAGATCACAAATATACTTGATAGATACAGAGTTTGCTTCTTATTAATAGAAAGTTGGCTCCTATTATATATTCTTCTATTCTTTTGATTAATTTTAGCTTTTTCTCGATATTTTTTTTAATGAAAAATCCTACTTCAGACCTTCTGGGTTTTTTATTATCATAGCTGTAAAAGAATTTATGTATTTGCTATAGGTTAAAAGTGAAGTCTGCTGTCTCTTCTATTAGTTTAGTTTCACAAATTCCTAGGATATCTATATCGAGATTTTGTATAAGTTTAAATAGTCTTTGTTGCTTAAGACTAGTATTAATGTCTCTAATATTATATGTTTCAATAGTAATAGTATTGTCTAGTATAGAGTTGTCAATAGTATAGTTTTTATACAGTATTTGTTCTTTATCTAGTTTAATAATGGTATTCTTTTTAATTATACTAATGAACTTGTCAAGTAGTATAGTATGTGTTGTGCTGGGAAGGGTTGTATTAGTTTCTATTATTGTTTCTATGGTCACTTCTTTCTTTCAAGATGAGCTTAATTTTTCTTATGGATCAAACTCTCTCCTGATATATCTTGATTAGACTGGTGCTTTTTAGGAATGATTATTCCATTACCTTCCTCTTACCCTGTCCTGATTATTTGTTTTTTCCTCAATTATATTTATTCTAGTATTTAATTACTTGAGATTATTCGAGATCTGACATAGGAGATCTTGATTACTTTTACTTTCCAGATAAGGACTTTGTGACCTATTATACAAACTTCATCTTTTGTTACAGTGATTGATTGGCTTTTTGTTACTACCAGTAGTGAAACATCTAGGAGTGTTTGATATCCCAGCCATGTATTTGCTATCTTGGAAGTTGAATCTTTTTCCTTTTGCCTTTTTTCCCAGGTCTGTCTTTTTTTTAGAATCATTTTTAGTTTTTAAATCATATTCAGATATTGTAGGCCAGTTTGTTCTATTGTTGCTTCTGATGTCAGTTTGGTCTAGTTATCTTGAGTACAGTTCAATATGTGTTGTTTCAGGTTAAACTTTTTCTTTGTTATAATTATTACTCTCTGTTTTGATCACTTCTTTGTTATACACTGTGTTCTTCCTGAAGTGCTCTTTAGTACTCCAGCTGAGTTTATGACTATGTATAAATATATGTTATCTCAGGGCCTTGTGCAAATCTTCTGCTGCTATGAAACAGATTACAGTATATCCTCTTCTTTTCAAAGTGAAAGGATTTTTTGATATATAATATACTTTGATCCCTGCATGCTGCGTTGCTCTTGTTATAAGACTTGTGAAGATATTGTATATACTATACAGTCATAAGGATTGGCTGTTATAGTTTTTGAGAATGATATTGACTTCATGATTGTCTGGTTCATATTAAGTGAAAATTGCCTTGAAGATATCTACTTTGATATGAATTAACTATCTATTTTTCAAGTCTTGTTGATTTTGGATGAGTTATACTTTGATTCTTCTTTGAGAGTGAGAGTGGTTATAAATATGAATACTCAAAAATTTTCTATATTTTTATAAGGCAGCCTTGATTTCTTAATGAATATAACTGTGGTCAAGATCTATTAATGTGACAACTACTGTCTTGTTTTTTTCTTCTGCTATTTCTTGTTTAAAGAATTTCTTTTTTGATAATAAATATGAAGTTTTCCATTTCTCTATCTGTATAGGTATCATGGTAAAGTTTTCTTCTTCTTTCTTGTTAATCTTCTCTATACATTGTAAGACATCTTTCATTTTCTTAAAAGCAAAAGTTGTTCAGGCATTACTATTGAGAAAGTCTTTTTTGAATAGTAGTATATCTTTAGGTAGACTTAAGGCACTTTGAAGATAGGCTAAATATTCTTTTTCTATATCTTCTAATATTCTGTAAGTGAGAATTCCAATCTTGAATTTTCCTTTCTTGGTGATATGAAATGAATTTAAACTGAATGGCTTGGATCTGTTTCGTGTATTGTAAAAGATTTATTCTGCTATGTTTTTCCCTTCAACTCTTTTCTGGATATTTACCATTTCATGTTCTTTCTTCAGCTCTTTCTCCATATCTTTATTACTTATTTCAACTTTGATATTATTCAGAATTTCAATTTTGATTGTTGGTTGAACTTCCATATCCTCATTTGGAGTGGTGTTCTCATTTGAAATTGAATTTTCTATTATGGAGTTTATAAACTCACCCTTGGTCTGAAAAGTTTCCAAAGTATGGAGGGGAAGACCATTTGTGAATGTATCTTGCTCCAAGATACATTTGATTTTTTTTTCTAAAAAAGATGCCATAAGGTCTTCTTCTCTTTCTTGGTCTTGTGTCCATAAGTATAGGATATATGTTTTAAGGACTTCTGCTTTAATGAATGTAGTTGGGTCTACATTTAAAATTTTTGCAAAAATACTATTGAGTATTAAGTATTCTGTTGATCCTGATGTCTGATTGGATTTGTTTTATGTGGTGAAAGTGTTAAATATGATTTGAGTAGCCTATATTTCTTTTCTCTGATCATGTTTTTCAACTATTTTGACTATTGTATCGAGGATGTGTAGCTCTTTCTTCTTAGCAATTTACATGATTTTTTATTTTTTTGTCATATTGGTCACATATAAAGGAGAATAAAATGCTAATTCGTTGTTTTGTTTATCCTTAATTTGTTTATTTATTTATATTTAGCAAGATATATAAGATTAATTGTTTGTTGTCTTGTTTAGTGTCTTGTTTACTCATATGAACCATTGATCCTTTCTGTTTAGTTTTGTTTATTTACTGGATTTGATGTTAATCTCCTTTATTATGAAAAATAGATCGTTTATACATAAAAACTTAATAAACCTTGCTATGTTATTTTGGTACTAAATTGTTTAATGTGTATGCATTTGTGTAACTTGTTTTGATGTTTAGACAGGTGTGTATGGAATCAGAATACTCTACTGGTTAGTCATTGAGAGCCTTTGATGTCTTTCTGGGCTTTGTAAACTTTGAGTTTTTCCTGATTATTGTTAGGAACTATTGATTGTAAAGTTTTTTCTAGTGCTTAAAAAGGTGTAAACTGACACTGACCTGACTAGAAGCATGAAAAGTTGATATTGGGCTCTCCTAAGCTTACTATGAATCAACTTGTAGATGTGTTTTCCTTCCCTTGTAAAGTAAAGCTAGTATAATATTATACTGTTAAAACTTCTTTTAATTGATAGAGTAATTTCTTGGGGAAATAGTTGAATGTTCTAGTTTGTTATTAAGTCTTGGATTTTTGAAAAATAAGATTTTTTTTAGGCTGGCTTCTCTTTTTAAAGAAAATTATCAAAAAAGAAAATTTTAAAGAAAAAGGGGATTAACAGAAAGTGTTTTTTTTTTTAATTTTTAAATCTTTAATTATACAATCAAAAATTAAAAAATTTATATATATTATATCTTAATATTTGTTTTATTTTTTATATTTTTTAAAAAAAAATTTTTTATAAATAATTTCTAAAGTTTGTCAAATATTTTTATTTTTTATTAATTATTATATGATTTATAATAATAACTAATCAAAATTTTTCAAAAGTAAAAATTTGAAAATCAACTGGTTTCCAGGTCTAATACAATAAAAACCTGAATTCTTTAATCACACCACTATACATATTATCATTTATCCTAATGAGCACCCTTATCAGCTGACAATAAACTAGTAGCTAGATATTATTTACCATTTTTCTCTTTCTCCAAGTGAGTTTTCAAAGTTTGTAAGGGTCTACCCATGCAATAGGCATTAGTTAATTTATTTGGTAGTTAACCTTGTAAAGATTACTCATGTAAATGTTTATGAATTAACTTTCTAATAAAAACTAACATGTATTGCTCATTTGCGTCATAAAAAAAAAAATAATAATTTGAAAATCTTTCAAATAATAAAACTTTATAATTATATTTGAAAAATTTTGAAAACCAAAATATAAATAAAAATATAATAAGTAAATTCAAATTTTAAAAATAATTATATTATTTTTTTATTTTATTTTTATTTTTATTAATTTAATTTTAAATTCACAATTATACTATTATGACATATCATTTATTGAGATATCAAATATTTTTTTATTGTGTTATATTTGCTATTTAATGTTTACTGATATTGTATTTATTATAAAAATCAAAGTAGATTTGTTATATGAATTCTTTTAATAAGATAATGAATTATAAATATATAAATAATGTTATTTTAAAAAATATTGGCGACGTAACATGATAAATTGATGTTATACGTAAATGTCGGTAGGATAAAAAGGAGAAAGAGCCGTGTATATACTCGGGAAAAAATATAAACTGAATTTTAACGAGGCAACAATATATCGATGAATCTAAAATTTCACTAAACACCCATGCAATCGTTTCCGTAATCAACCGTTACAAAACAGACACACGAATAGTGGAGGTACACGCTACAATTTATAGGACTCTATAAACAGACAAAACAAATTATAGAGTCCTATAAATTGTAGTGTGCACCTCCAGAATTCGTGTGACAGCTTTGTAAAAATTGATTATGGAAAAGAGTGTACGAATGAAAAGTTCCTTGTTCTATTTCCGTAAAGTTTTCATCTTCTTGTATGGGAATATGCACTGGCTCTCCACTGTATTGGGAATAATCGGTTCCATCTTGAACAGACAATTGCTGGGTAGCGATGATGGAGGGGGAACTCTCTTCTGAAGATTCAGGGAAAGATAAACTTTCAGTGGCATTTATCGGAATTGTACTAAAATAATCAATTTGCTGAGTGTAGTCCATTTCATCCCGGACATTCTGTTGTTCGCTTGAATTCCACTGATATTGCCTGTCTAAAGCATGTCCTGGAGGAAGTGAACTTTCATGATATTGATTAACTCCTAGAGCTATAGGGGCGCAAAAACTCGAATATTGAGCAAACTTGAATAGTTCGGGAGGAAGACCTAAGGGAAGCATGCTCCTATCATCATATACTGAACTTGAGCCGGAAAAATCGTTATAACAACTTTTATCCATGTATTGGATGAGCAATTGGCTAGTTAAATCCAATTGAGATGGTCCAGGATGTTGACTGTCTGAAACCGGAGAATATACTTCTAAATGTTCCGGAGAAAATATAAATACAGAATCTTGATATGTATTGAAACGGTCATAACGATTTTCACCGATCATTTGCGGATCGCTTAAATCACGACCAGAATATAGAATACTTGAATCTGAGAAATATTCTGGAGAAGACTGAGCTTCATAATCTCGAGCAACCTCTAATAATGCGACGGATTCTTCATCAACTCCATTTGATTGATCATTTAAATGAAATAATTCCCGAGTTTCCCTTGGGCTTGATACTAGCGACTCCTCCCTCCTGCCTTTCTTATCTTTGCGATTAGGTTTATACTTGTAGTCAGGATATGCGAGCCCATGTTCAATGCCCGCAAGATCAGCAAGCTTATTAAAAAAAGCTAGGACTAAAGGATTTTCCTTTAACCTCTTCCAATCATTTGACACGACACTTGCGTCATTCACACCTTCCATACTTTCGACTTCATTATTCTGGAGAATTTTTTCCTTGCGATATTTTTTATAAAGAATAAATGCATTGGGCGGCCTCGGGGGGCGGGATTCTCGCAAATTCGGTTTAATTAATTTCTCAATGAAAATGCCATTGTCATTCATTTCATTTGGTAACTGTATCCAGAGCTCTTCTAGCTCTTCTACAAGTTTTTGTCTTTCTTTTCTGAGTTCGTCTTTATTAGTAGGTTTGAACGAATTTGACGAATAAGATTCTAGGAAATAGTATTTTTTGTCTTTTGTCATATTGAGAGCGGAGAATTGAAAAGGAAACTATTTAAATTATCGATTTTTTTCAAATCCGTTAGCACGAGGTATGGAACTGTAGGTGACGAGTGTTTTTTAGTGGTTTCATATTGTATTTATACTTTTTACATGCGGAAACAAGGTACTTTGAGCCGCAGTTTATAGGACCCAGGGATGTAAGCAGCGTGCTGTACTGTACGTAATAGGCATTTCGCCTGTCTATCATACCTTGTATACAAATATGTATACAAGCTAAGTTTTTCCGAATGTAATATACAGTATCTAATTTTTATGCATACTGTATTATATCTACTGGTGGCTAGAATAAAATGCATAATAATAAATAAATCAATATATATTTTTATTTTTCAAAAAAGATATTTATTCTATTTTAATATAAACCTTACTGATCTTTTTTACTGATTCTTTGACAACAAGAAGTTTTATTCTTTTATGCTAATAATGTTTTTCTTATTAATTTCTTTAAAAAAACTTATAATTTCAAAAGTCATGTATATTTCTTCACAAAAACTTGATTTCTAGTAATTAAGAAAAGTCAAGAAACATTGTTTTTATCTATAACAAGAAAGTTTTTAAAAAAAGAAAAACCAATAGTATAATATTAAAAATTTCTCTTCTAAAGTAAAAATGTGATATAGAGATTTTATATAATGAAAAAATGGATAAACAAAAACTTAAATTTTGAAAACTTTTTTATTTACCATTTTTTTTTTTACATTTACTCAATTTTTAGAATTTCTTAAAGAATTTTATCTATCTTAATTGTTTTTAAATTTTAAATAATACAAATCTTATTTGAAGTAATTAGCTAATAAAAATATATTGATTGTAAAATATAAACAAATTTCTATTAATTATAGCATATGTTTTAATAATATTATTGATAAAAAAAAAAGTTGATTGGTTTTTTATTTTTGTTTTATTTTTTCAATTGGGTTTATGATTAATAAAATTTAAGCAATAAGTTTTCAAGTGATAAAAAGTTATTATTTATTTAAATTAAGATTTTTTCTTTTTTATTATTTTGATTAGACAAAATTTGAGATCAAAGTTTTTTTTATTTCAATTAGACAATAAATTTTATAGTAAATAATTTTTAGTTTACTTTAAACTTTAACCTTTTAGTTACTATTGAAAATGTATCCTTTCAAAAGTTGTTAAAATATATTATAATTAATAAAGATTTTTATTACTACTTGTAAAGTTAAAAGTTTTTATATTATTATAAAAAATATATATTAAAAAATATAGTTTTTAAATAATAAAAGATATTGTATACAGTATATTAGTAAAAAAATTATTAACTATATATAATAGTTAAAGATATTATGTTAAAATAATATAATTCAATTCTTATTAAATTATATAAAATCATAAAATTTATTATAAGTTATTATTATATCATAAATAGATATATAGTAAAATTACTATTAAAATAAATTAAAATTAGTTATTTTTCTAGAAATAAAGATTCCTAATAGATAGTAAATTTTTTTAGTAATATATAAGAAAAAAATTAAATTTAAAATTAAATAAGCATCTCAGATAATTAAAAGAAAAAAATTATATTTTAATAAAATATTTTTTATTGAAAAGAATTTTTAAAAAGTAAGTTTTGATAAAAGTTAAAAAAAAAATTTTTTTTTTCATTGCTTTTCTTCTTCTTATTATATATTTGTATATTTTTAACTATTTTTCTCTTTTTTCAATCCATCCCTTTTGTAGTTTTCTATATTCTAGTGGCTTGATAAAACATAACAGCAACAACCTGTTAACAATGATATATGAAATTAAAAAATTTTTGATCTAAAGTTTACTATGAAGTGAAATATTATTTCTGATCAAATTTAGATATTATTTTATGTCAAATTTGTTCTTAATGAATTGTACTAATGTATTGCAGTAGTAATCTGCAAACAATGATATTAAGAGTTGAAAGGGTTTTTACCTGAACTCCTAATGAAGTGATAAATCACTCCCAAAGTTGCATTAGAGTAGTAATTACAAAGACAAGTAAGCTAGTTAGCATTTTTTAGCTTTAACGATTCATATTATGTGTATAGTTTACAAACATTTAATAAAGCACACATAACTAGCCTGACAGAGGGTTAAAAAAAAATGAATTGTACTAATGTATTCAATTGATTAATAAATTACAGTCTAATCTGGTTGCAGGTATTGCAAATATATATACTGTATACACAGTATATGTATATTTTTAAACTTTTTTTCGGTTTCGGTATCGTAATTCCGAGAATTTTTATTTTTCGGTATCGGTATCAGTAATTCCGAAAAATTTCGGTACTTTAAAATATCAAATTTCAAACCACAAGAAAAGTGCGTTAACGTTGTGATTAAGTTTGTAGCATATTTTCAAAATTATTCTATTCTTGATATTATAGATGTTCCTATAAAAAATGCGTTAACTATATTATAGATGAAAAGTTTTTACGGCATATTTTTCAAATTTGGATCGCGAATTCATATGAAAAGTGCATCAACTATTTTATCGACTTTACAGATTGTAAGTTTTCACGGTAAATTTGAATTGTAAATTTGCACGAAAGGTGCATTAACTATACTTTTATTCTATTCTTTATATTCGAAACAGTAAGTTTTCACAAAATATGCTCAAAATTTAAACTGCAAGCTCATAAAATCGGAACCCTAATATACAGTATATTTTATATTATTTTTTATTCAATAATATCAATTTTTACTATTCGAAATCCATGCATTAAAATAATTTTTCATATAATACTGTATATTTAAACCATTTTCCTTAAGTAATAATATTCCTTATAATTTTGAAAGTATATAATTTTATTATTATTTTTTTTTGTTTATTGACCGTCAGTTGCGAATATATCGGTTTTGTTCGCAAAACCAACACTTCCCGTTGTTAGGGAGTTTAAGTTGAGTGGCACATAATATAATAAATTTAAAAATTAATTATTCAATTTTTAATTATACGAGTTGACAAAAATGAGGTCTTTATATACTCCTACGCTATTATCTAAATTTCTATGTCACAAGATTTTTAAACCCAACTTCCAAATTTTAAATTTGTTTGCTAATTATAAAATATAACGGTGAATATTCAATATTCAAGAATAATAAAAAAATTCCTTTAAATAGACAATAGCACAGCGAAAAATAAAATTACGGAAAATTTTGCTGGCAGTTTTCCCCATTACTATCGCAACAGGAGCATGTGCAAGTTTGAGTATTCTGGTTAAAGATGCATACTTCAGTGTCTGTGATATATTTTAATTTCTTATAAGTTTTATAACACGTAAATTACAATTGAGAATAATTTCGTAAATTAAAAATTACCATCACAGAAGGGTGCCGGATCAGGACAGTTATCAGCGCTGACGGTCACCGAGCAACTGAAAAGTATAGCAATAATTAGGAGGATGAAGATTTTTTTATCCATTATGTATTCGATTTCTATTTAAGATAAATTTGCGTGATTCTGGATTTCTGTGAGCCATATTCCAAGACGACTTATATATTTCAAGAAACCAACTTTAGACCGTTACAATCACCACATCAATCACTTAGATATCCCGATGCGACAAGGAACATCCGGGTTTCATAACTTTGAAATTAACCTTTAGATAGTCAGATTATCCTATTCTTCCGTTCAATGGTTCATGAAAATATTTTCATAAACACAAATAACGGATTTTATTGCTTTAGAAGGTTTAATACAATATGCAGTAATTTATTATACGATTCCTTATGCACATCGATAAAAATCCCACGTTTTGTAATTATTTAAAAATATTAAAAATGGAGTCATATAAGACAATTAATTAATTTAAAGTCTATCAGTGCTATATACTGTGCATAGGGCTTAGTTAGAGTAAAAGATGACAAATAATGATTCGGCCTTCGAAACGGCGGAACCAAAATTGTCATTCCTCACCATTTTATATATAAAGATAATGACTTATATAACGAATTATCCCGATTTATAAACCAAATAACCAACCTATCAAATGCTTCGAAAAAACTGTCACGACAAAAAGATATATGAACCATTTTTAAATTTCTTTAGTATATTGCCGAGTTATAGGAATCTCGTGTACCCATTGATAGGTAAATTAATCGAAGTATTTATGCCGTTTTACATTAAAAAATTCCCGAAAAGCAATAGTAACGATGCACCTTTATTATATATTAAAAACGTTTTTATATTAAATTTTTTAGATACGCATTTTATTTATTAATTTTTATCAAATAACTACAGTAATTAAAATAAATATAATAAAATAAAAATTGTATTTAATTATTATTATTATTATTATTATAAAACCAACTAATTCTACACCATTAGCATACATTATTAATAAAGATTATATTAGAAACTAATTAATGGTTATTTTAATAACCCTCTATTAGAATAGTTATATGCATATGTTTTATTAAACATTTGTAAACTATATACATTTTATACGTATCATCAAAGCTAAATCTTTTCAATTAGTTTACTTACTGTATTTTAATTATTTTATCTCTAACTTCAAAAATAATTTGCTGATTCATTAATAACTCAAATAAAAAAATTTTAGTTATTAATATTATTATCTACAAGTTAATATTCCAAATCACTTTTTAAGTTTAGATAAGAATAAAAATCCAATTATTTTATATTATTTTTAATTTATTTTAGCATGATTTCAAAAAAA